GGCGACGGCGACGCGGGCGACCGGGCCGTTCCACCGAGTCTCTCCCCGCAGTGTTCGAGCAGTACCAGAAAGCCCGGACCCAGTTCGTGCAGATGGTGGCGGAGTTGGCGACAAGACCCCAAAACATCGAGACGCTGCAGAACGCGGGTGAGCCCTCACCGCGAACCCACGTCGCTCCCCGGCAGGGCCCCGCGCCCCTCGCCCGGCATCCCCAGCTTCTCATTGCTCAGCGTCCCGGGCCTCGCCTCGACCCGGGCCATTGAACCCCCGCCGCGCCCCCGCCCTGGGCGCCCGGCTCTCCTGCCCGCTGGGCTTTTGGGGAGCGGCGGGGTGGGGCCGCGAGGGCGCAAAGACTTCAGAAACCTGCCTTCTCCTTAGCGGGTTTTTGGGTGAAGCTTCCAGATTGGTGTGAGAGGGGCCCGATGTTCCTATTTATTTTTTCGATGCAACCAGGCAGGTGACAAGTTGAAAGTCAAGACCATATGAATCGCCTGGAAGTCATTTTACGTGAATGGGATTCTACCCTAATCAGTCCCGTTGTATCCGGGTGCCGTTGCATGTCGCCCTGCCTTTGATCACCTCCGACTTTCTCGACTTACTCGCAGGAAAGGAATTCCAGTGTGGTTTACACATTATTTCTCGTCTTGTGTCAGTGAAAGAGGAGTGATATGCTTGAATCTTTTCCAAGAAATTCAAGGTGGATAAAGACCAATCTTTGGGAAATCCTTATGGTGCTCTTGAGAATCCCACCCCTTACTCAGACCTCTTGCAGAAGAGAGAGAATTTGTTTATCTGTTATCATAAAGGGATAGAGAAGGTAATGGTAGTTCTCTCATTAAGGATGATTCTACCACCACTTGAACTGTAAGGTCACATTTTATCACTACTGTGTCTTAAGAAATCTTGTTTGTAAGATATAATCTTTTAAACTAATTTAAATTAGCGTATAATTTTAAAAAATCACATTTACAGCAAGAATATTTAGACATAATGATTACTCTGGGGAATTACTACCTCACCTAAGTGATAATTTTTGTCACTGAGATTTTGGCATTTATTCCTTGTGTATTTTATTTGGGGGTGTGGAGCATTCCTTTAGAATGGAGGAAGTTTATAATTTTAAAAAAAACCTTTTAAATTTGAGATAATTGTAGATTCACATGCAGTTGTAAGGAATAATACAGAGAAATTCTGTGTACCCTTTACTCAGTTTCCCCAGTGGTAACATCTTGCAAAACTGTAGTACAGTATCACAGCCAGGATGTTGACGTTGATGAATATCCATTGATCTTATTTAGGTTGACACAGTTGTACTTGTACTTGTGTATGTGTATGTGTGTTCTGTTGTATGCTATTTTATCCCATGTGTATCTGCCACCACTGCAGTCGCACAACACTTTCATCATCACAAGGATCCCTTGTGTTGCCCTTTTATGACAACACCCACCTCTTGCTGTCTCTAACCCTGGGCAACCACTAATCTGTTCTCCATTTCTAAAATATTGCCATTTCAAAATTGATAATCCTTGCTCTGTAGTTGTTTCATATGTGGGTTAATTTTTTAATTCTGTGTGTATGTATGTGTTCACTCATACTCCTCAAAGTACCCAGAACAATACCAGATGCCCAGTATTGCATATATACAGACTAAGTTAAGTTTACCAGAGCACACTGCATTTTTTTGACAAGTTTAAAACATGTATTTAAAATACAATGTATAAAATGCTTAATCTGCCGACTCAGGAGCCCGCAGTGCAGGATGGGGTGGGGATGGGCAGCTGCCCACTACACCAGCAGAGCAAGGGTGCAGGGGTGTGGCCCTCCCTCCCATGCCCTTCTGTTCAGACACCCAAGGGGCTTGTGTGTACCCCTGGGATCACATGACCAGAAAACAGGACCCCAGAGGTTTCTTGAGTCTCTGTTAACCAGGGAGACTGGGTGCAGCCCTGCAGGCCCATCCCTGAGCAGGGTACCCCCAGATGGGGCAGAGCAGGGGATTGCATTTTTAAATTGCAGTTACTTTTCAAATTTTCTCCATCTTAACCTTCTCGGTGGCCCTTGTGAATAGCCTTACTATATGTAAACAATATGTTTACAGTCAAACTAACACTTTATTTTTTTAAATGGGAAAATAGTCAATATTATTTTAAAAACTTAATACTGAAATGTTGAAGTATATATAACACTTAAGATCTGGAATATCACTTGTAGTGAGTAGTGGCAGGTTACTTCTTCCCATAAGAGTGCAATGTAGAGTATATTATGGAATTTAATCCAAACTGGCAATGTAAGTGGCTTAGATATACAACTTTACATTTATGATTTGGTTTATGAGGGAATGGAATACAAAAAGAATATAGCTTAATGTTTCAAAACTTTTTGCGCTTGACTTATATTTGGATAGCATGCTAAGATGTTTCTTTTCCTGATAAACCTAATTTTAAAAATATATTTTATGTTATCTAGTTTCAATATAAGTATTCCTTTAGTAATTTTAAATAGAGGCAGGTAATGGATGCTGTATTCCAATATATTTATTCCTTTAATTAAAAAATAACCTGTGAGCTTTGTTACAAAAACTTTTCTTAATAGCCACTTTACTTAACCATTCAAGTGGCTTATTCTTTTAAAAAATCACCATGGATTAAAAAGTGCTTTAGAGTGAGCCACAATATGTGTTTATCAATTATATATTGTAATTAAGCCTTTTTTCCCCCTGCTAAATGCCTTCATTTTGGTAGCTGAAGATACCAGTGCATTTTACTCCTGACTTTTGACATAGTGTCCATGTATCTGGGAAGATTTTATTTTGCTTTGTCATCTCTCCCCCCGATATATTGTTTATGGAAATATGTATCATAACTCCAGGATAATGTGAAAAATATTTTACATATAGGCATCATTATTAAACTAGTAATTCCCTTGTTAAGAATTTTTTGATTTATTCCATGTAAAAGGACTATTAATGGCGAAAATTATCAGTGGAGTTTTATTTTATTTTAAATCTCTTATATTTTAAATTGTTTTTGATATTTGCCTTATTAAACATGTCCAAAGTAATTACAAAGGCAGACAAAGTATTGCAAGAGCTCCTCTTCAGAGTTTTGAAAAGAGTAAGTTTGATTTCCAGTCAAAATTGTTACTAAAAAGAACTATGTACAGAATGTCTATACTCTTTTGGTTTTTGTTTTTGTTTTTTTCACTTTCTTTTTAAATTTATTTTTAAAAAATTTTTTATTATAAAGATGTGGGGTATAATTCAAGGCTAGGTAGACAAACATTGATTATGCAGGTACTCTTGTTGATGAGGTATGCTCCTCCCTCCCCTAGCAGTTTCCCTCAACTGCCAATCCCACCCCCTCTCCCCTGACAGTTTCCCATTACTGCCAAATGCTTTCTTATAATATTATAATTGTCAAGGTCCACTTATGAGTGAGAACATATGGTACTCTGTTCTTTGTTTCTGTGATAGATCACTGAGTATGATTGACTCCAAATCCTTCCAAGTTGCTGCAAAGTCTATATATTTGTCCTTCTTTATGGCTGCATAATATTCCATTGTGCATATGTACCACATTTTCTTTATCCAGTCCAGCTGCGATGGGCATTGCCCCTCTTTAGGTTTTTAAAATTGATGTTTTATTCCTTCTAAATCAGAAGAACACATATGAAAAATTTAAAACTTAAATGTTTGTTATAAAATTTCTATATGTACACTCAAACACTCTGAACCATGACATCTTGTAGCTATTTATTTATTTATTTATTTATTTGAGTTGGAGTCTCACTCTGTCACCCAGACTGGAGTGCAGTGGCCGCTCCCAACCACTGCAGCCTCGAACTGCTGGGCTTTGGCAATCCTTCCGTGTCAGCCTTCCAAGTAGCTGGAACTACAGGCATACGCTACCACGTCCTGCCAAGTTTTGACTTATTGTAGAGATGAGGTCTCACCAAGTTGTCCAGGCGGGTCTCAAACCCTCGGGCTCAGGTAATCCACTCACCTCAGCCTCCCAAAGTGCAGGGATTACAGGCTGAGCCACCGAGCCCGGCTATCTTGTAGCTATTTAAAAATGAATTGTGGTTCTTCCCTTCTCCGAATAATTAGTAACACAACTTAGAAAAGATCATACATTGTTACTTCTATTAATTGTAAAATTTCAGCAATTGGAGGTGGTTGGTTATAAAATATAAGAAACATGTTTTGTGACATATTGGACTACCAGGTCACTCTTGGGTCTTTTTAGGAGGTCTTCTGAAATAAGCTAGTAAATACTCCAAGAAAATTATTTTTAAACTGCCTAGTTATATAAAATCAAATTCTCCGGAACTAGCTATTTATATAAATGGAGATCAAAATTTAGTAAAACATTAGTTATACATATTTTCAGAAAGTAGAAATAAATAAGTTTGCATAACTTTTAAATATGCATCTATATGAAGCAAATTTGCATATGAGGCAATTTAATGGGTTCAAAATTCAACAAAAGTAATATATATTGTTGACACAATGATTTTAGATTATATGTGTCTGGAACAGGATGAAAATCTTCAGATTAACTATCTAATGCCTTAGAATGCTATGAGAAGTCCCTAGTAAACATTTATAATGTATTTAATATATATCTTGGCATGTTCCTGTACCATAATCCTCTTACAAAGCCTACTGTTCCAAAGGATATTGAAACTGAAAAGAAAATTAGCAAAGCAACTTCAAAAAATTTAACCAATTATGTTATTTAAATTTGACATATTTTGTGAATATAAAAAGAGTTATGAATATAAAAGATAATTAACTCAAAAATACTGACTTTCTCTTATGAGATAGGGATAGAGAAGTTTGTTGCATATGCTTAAGTGGAAATACATGTGCTTAAATGAAAAAAGGGGCCATAAACATTCTGGTCTTGTATGCACCTAACAATGTGTCCTAGAAGCAAAAGCTTATTCAGAATTGTATTGTGTTCCAGGTCACTGTTCCTACATGGACATCTATCTGTGTTTGTTAACTAGGCATTGGTACACAGTAGAACATAATAGAGCAAGGGCTAGGCTCTAATTGCTTTCTTAGGAAAAATTGAACAATTAAAATAAAGAATTCAAGCTATAGATGAGCCTAGAATAGATATAGATGGGGCTTACAAATGACA